GCAGCTCTAGCACTGCGACGGTTATCTTAGGAGGTGGCAGGCGTTCGAGAGATGCCAACAGCAGCTGCCCTCGATCTACTGGAATCACGAGACGAGTTGACCGTCATGGAGGAATCATCTTTAAGGGTGAGAGATAGCGTCATCGCAAAGCCGGTTGAGAGGGAAATGCTAGGCTTCATGAACACAAGGCGCATATGGGGAATCGAGCAAAGCGACAAGAGCCGTGACGTCAGTTCTGGCTGATGAAGTCGCACATTGCACGGATTGATATCAGTTGCACTATCTGACAGTCTTATAGAATGGGCGAATCAAAGCCGATGTTGCCTGCGAAGTGCTGAGGCCGTGGAAGAACGCGTTGCCACGATCTGTTGCACGTGACAGCTAACGGAAGACTATGTGAATAGTCGTGACTATTACAGTCGTTTCCTCGAGGATGAGAGGTGTATAACACTCGGCAGTGATACTGTGATTAGAAATAAAAGGGATGTTCGCACAGACGCGGCATCTTACCAAAGGTCGTCTCTGACAATGGACCGCTAGTATGCTTCGGGGGAGTTTGCAGACGTTTTGCCAATGCCTGGAATTCACGCTAACATTCAAGCCCGGTATACGCCCAATTATATGGCCTTGCTGAGAAGGGTGTGCCAGACAGCTTAAGCACGCTACTCGAGAAGGCCAAGGCGATGGCCGAGCGCCATAATTTGGTTGCTGGAGTATCTGAATACCCTGTGGATAATCTCGCAGTCGCCTGCTCAACTGGCTATGAGTCGCCGAATGGCGGTATGTTTTGCCATCCACAGCTCAGACAGCTTAGAGCAAACTGGTAGAGTGCCATGCTCGTGAGAAGCTCCTACGAAAGCAACGAATGCAAAGCAACTACTACGACCGTCAGTCAGTAATCGGCTGCATCCACTCACGCAGGAGATGCGATACGCTCACAGGCGAGACGGTGCAGTGGAGAGGAGCTACTGGTCCACCAAGGTAGCGAGATGCTGACAGGTCTATACCACGTCGAACAGAAGAGGAGGCGAGTACAGGCGTAAAGACGCATTTGTTTTGACTTCCCGTTGGAAGCCCAGGCATGTAAAGTGGCATCTAGGAGAATCTCGGTGCTGAGATGAGTGGCCAGACTGGACCACCAGTGACAGTGGACACCTGAGATAGTACCTCCCCTCAGATGGATCCGGCGGACCCGTCACCCGGATCTGGCCGTCCGTCAACGCAAAGACTTTTGATATATGAATGTAACGGACGAGTTTGTGTCAGTTGTGTGTGTTAATATGTGGCATTGTAACAATCTACGTTGTGCCATGTTGTGGACCAAAAATTTGGTTGAGGCATATTGTGTTTATTGCATATGTCGTTTACGACGTATAATTAGCCATGGAGTTCACCTACTCGAGTGCAGCATAACAGTCGATGTTTTACATTTTTTGTTAGGAAGGGGAGATGTTAAATGTTATTCTGCTAATTAGCTAACATCCCTGTTAGAGCGGTCTATAAACGTGCCGGGAGATGGGTGCGTGAGGCAGGGAGGCCGTGGGGAGAATGGAAATGGAGTATTAGAATATAAGGTTACTTCTGGAATAGTTATATATACGTGTTTGTCCTCAATGAAGTTTAGGGATGAACTTTACAGTGACTACCATTTTTATGGCTTTATTGAACAGGACGGCTGATGCAACAGTAAGGGTCGCGGATAAACCTTTTGAACGCGGCCTCAAGAGGAGAGTTAAACATTGATTTGTTGACAGTTAAAGATTAGTTCCTCCCATCTCACTGCGCGCGTTGTCTTATAAAAGGCATTTGAAAATACCTCTGATGTTGTTGACAGTTTCCCCAATCCCCAAGCAACCGTGCAGCGGTGCTGCGGTACAGCGGTACGGGCGCAGCAAAGATAAAAACATGTGACGTCCCGTCACCACTTCGAGGCTATCTTGTTTGGCAAACAGTCGGAGTTTGCGCCAGAATGCCAGTTTTCTCACCTCTTTCTTGTGGGTTTTAAGCAAACGCGCAGTGAAATGGGAGCAACTAGAGTTTATTTTGTCATAAGGTAGTGTGATTATGCATGACACGAAGTATTTGCTAGTCTAGTACTGGAGAAATTAGCGTTTGGATGCGCATTGTGTGGCTTTAACAAAGGGTGTTGCTATCCCCCGGGCGTGGAGGGAGGGTCACGTGATACAGTTGACGTATACTTCAAAATCATTAATCATCCGGTAACCCTAACTGCAACACCTCCAACGCTAACCATAACACTAAATATATATATCTCGGAGCGCTATATATAGGTCCAAAATTCCACAAAAATTAATCTATGGTGTGGGGACAGATATCATGATGCAAAAACCCTAACCCTAACCCTAACCCAATCTCTAACCCTAATCCTAACACTAGTGCTGCCACGTTGCGGTCACCTCCATCCACGCCCGGGGGACAGCATTACCCGTTAACAAAGGACTGAACTGCTCTTGCTATTATTAGAGTCCATACCTGTGTGAATGTGAGGCTACAGTTGCACAGTTTAATTGCAAAGGCAAATGTTTGTTGAACAAGGTTTACGCTCCTTAAGTCATATTATTTTCTAAAGCAGTCTGTCTATAGCACCCTGAAGGCTGAATCAGTGAATGCTCGCGTGGGTAGGCAAAAACACGGGGCAGCCCATGGCTGCCACTCTTCTAATCATAATTGTTGCCTGCCAACCTGCAATGCAATGTGTTAACTCACAGCTGAGCGAAATTATCGCCTGCCTGAATATACTTGCTTGGATTTTAGCCTGTAGGATCTCAGCAACTCCCCAGGGAGCTAGTTAAGGTATCTCAAGAAGGGCAATCCCAACTTTGATTATTGATTACACTGGCATGCGCCATCTCGCGGCAACTATAGGCCTAGTTTAAATTAAATTTTATTCTCATGTAACTTTGTTAAACGAATAAATAATAACTAGTACCATATAATATATATTTACTTTTCATCTTGAATATTAACATATATCATGTAGCTATGGCCGTGCGTATCCATTTACCAGTTATGCGAACATAAGCTATTACCATAGAAATATTAGAGACACTATATATATTATTATTTCTATGGCTGTTACACTCAGGGGCATAGGAACGGCATCATCGCTGGTTTTGTTTTTAATTTATATAATTAAGAGAGAGAGAAAGTCTAAGATAAAGAGAGAGAGAGAGTAGTAAATTGAGACGGGGACAGGAAAACGGTGATACGGTGTGTATGCGAGCGGGAAACGGGGTACAATTAGGCCATGCGAGATGGTGTGCAAGGAGATGGGAGGTGGGAGACAGGGGGAGGGAGGTCGAAGGCAGGGGGAGGGAGATGGTAGGTAAGGGGGTGGAAGTGAGAGGGAAGGGGAGTGAAGTGGGAGGCAGGGGGAGGGAGGTGAGAGGCAGGAGGGAGGGAGGTGGGACGCAGTGGGGAGGGAGGTGGGAGAGAAGACCCCCCCCCGCCCCCTCTAATTAAACTTGGAGATCCATGCTCATATGTTGAAATCCTTTATGTCAACGTCAATGTCATTCATTAACTTGTATTTCAATTGTTATTATTGTTCTTGTTATTAGAATTAACCCATAGAGATTAGGTGGGTGCGAAAGTGTAGCTGATATATTTGCTCGAATTGGCTACGAAAGTCAAACAAGAATAAAGTAGACTTATGTATAAGACGTCTTGCTATGCACAAATGAATTTATCAGCAGAACACCAGACACCAGATAAGCCCTGTCGCACTGCGGCACTTGTTATAAATGATATATTCTATTTTGTAAACAAAACACGCCTCTTTAATTATGCCGATGACAACACCCTTTCATATTGTCATCCGGAGTTCGAGCCGCTAAAACAAAACTCTCGAAACAGAAAGCGTGTCACTAGTCGAATGGTTCTCCGACAACCAGATGGAAGCAAATCCAGAGAAATTCCCAACTCTGGGTGTCGGGAAACAGACATTTGAAAAGAAACCAGTATTTTATGTAGCGAACAATAGTGTACCATGTGTATATTTTTTATTAAATTTTGACAAACATGTTGGTAAAATGTGCAAAAAGGCCTCACATCAAATTAATGTTCTGAAGCGTATAGGGAAGTTTTTAACATTGGAAGGACGGAAGGCTGTGTATCATGCTTTTATCATGTCAAATTTTAATTTTTGTCTATTGATATGGCACTTTTGTAAAAAAGCAAACAGACAAGCTTGAAAGACTCCATTGTAGGGCATTGAAATTTGTATACCAGGAACATGACAGCTCATATGAGGAGCTTTTACATAAAAATAAAACATGTTCCCTGCACCTTGGGCGTCTCCAAAACATTGCCACAGAGACTTTTAAAATTATTCACGGACAGTGCCCATGCAGTTTATTTAAATGATTTTATCCACATGCGGAAATCTGCGTACTCCTTTAAATACAAAAATGTCTTAACCACACCAAATACCAGAACTATGACATATGGCACAAATAGTTTTAGAACATTAGCTGCAAAGGTGTGGAACAGTCTGCCAGAAAATGCCAGTATGTTTTAACGAGTTTAAAATGTTTATCAAAACATGGAATGGTTTTGCATGCAAATGTGCAATGTGCAAATGATCTTAAATTTGCAGTATGTTTTTAGTAAATTTTGTAACATCTGTATATCTGTTTGCTATAAATTTTAAATATCCATGTATTATACTTATAATTTATTCATGTACTCGAATGCCTGTATAGTATGCATGTTTAAAATTGTTATTTACTGTTTTAATTATTGGTCTACTTATGTTAGTTGGTCGATCTTAAAAGCTCACCACAGCTTATGTTTCTCATGTTGTAAACATACCGACTTTAAATAAAGATTACTTGAACTTGAACTTGAATAATTAAAAAATTATAATTAACTAGTGAACCTTTGTTTGATCAAATTTTTGAGCAGAATGAACAGACTGAAATTGTGTGACTAGCAATGTATGCCATTGAACAATGGCAGCAGCCTTGCCATCTACTCACATCAATTCTCGGTAATTGTCAAAGTATGACTGCAGATTGTGCGACTCCGTCAACTTTTGTTTCCTTTGAGCTGCCTTCTCCTGTAGTTCATTCCATGCCTGCACTGCCTCTGTGTGGTACGTCTCCACGTGTTCTCTGGCATCGGGAAACTGCTTGTACAGATCGTCTGCCACAGGGGTAAGGCTATGAACTTGCTTGCCAATTGCTACCAAGTCTCGCTAGAAATCCAAAAAATGATTTATAACGTTTATAGTTGACATGTGCCTTTAAATAGCGAAACACTAGTAGTCAGTGAAGTAATGTGGACACAGAGTAGTATAGGAAACTAGAACAATGAATATATTTTACTGTCTCAGCTATTAATGTTACTTTATAGCAACTAGAAAGGGCAGTTGTCGCCAACTACATGTATCCCCCGTGATCTAGTATGAATGAAATATCTCAGTAAGGACGTAGACGGTAGGTAAAGTTAAATAAGTCACAAAGACAAAGGTTTGTTACACAACTCATCTGCCTGAGATGTGCAAGTATGTTGAAATTAGTTGCCTTAGGGGTTTTGGTACGCGACACACCTTCTCCCCAAGATGTGTAAGTACACGAAGTTTGCTCGCGCTAGGTCAATTATGGGCCGAGTTATAGAGCGGAAGAGAAATATGATGAAGGTCAAGGTCAAGGTCAATGGCGATACCGCCGAGAACTGGAAGAGATTTCGGCAGCACGCCGAGTTGATGTTTTCGGGACCACTGAAGGCCAAAGATGAAGAAGAGAAGGTGAGCTACCTGCTGATTTGGGTAGGAGAAAAAGGACGCGATGTGTACAATACATGGTCAGACATATCGGCAGAGAACAAGAAGAAGCTAACAACGTATTATGACAAGTCTGGGAAGTATGTAGAACCGAAATCGAACACGGTGTTCGCGCGATACCGCTTCTATAAGCGGGTCCAAGGTCAAGAGACTTTCGAACAATTTGTGACGGACTTAAAACTCCTTGCAAGGGAGTGCGCCTTTGACGACCAAAGGGAGAATATGATTCGGGACCGGATCGTGTTTGGGACAAACTCAGATAGAATACGTGAGAAACTCATCAACGAAGGATCCGACCTGACATTGACAAGGTCTATAGACATAGCACGAACACACGAGTTATCACAAGTACAGCTAAAATCAATGAAAATGGAGGAAGCGCATGTACACGCTATCGGCAGAGGTCATTCATCCACACCAGCACGTGGGAGCGCACACAGATACGCACCAAACCAAGGGCGAGGGGGTGCATACGGATATACACCAACACGTGGAGGCACACGATACGACCCAAGGGGTAAGAATGCACATGGAGGCAAACAGCTTTGTGATAGGTGTGGTACGCATCACAGCTACACCGACACGTGCCCAGCGCAAGGCCAAGAATGCTTCGCATGTAATGGTAGAAACCATTTCGCAAGGATGTGTAGATCACATAAGGATGTTCACAATGTTGACATTTGCGCTGGGGATCAGGATTACCTGGACAGACATGACGCGGAATTCTATGACGACAACAATGTGTTCATAGGGACTGTCGGAGGACAGTCGGCTACAGGCACCAATGAAGCTGATATAGGCGTGGGTAATGAAACGATAACATTTAAACTCGACACAGGAGCTCAAGCCAACGTGATTCCGGAAAACGTATTCCGCTCCCGCTCGAAACTGCAACCAGCGAAACAGAAGCTGTACGGTTACGGCGGTGAACCACTAGCGGTGAAGGGTACGTGCACCTTACCATGTCAGTACAAAGACAGACGGAACAACATGGACTTTTTCGTCGTCTCGACAAAGTCTGTGCCAATCCTTGGGTACAAATCATGCATTGATCTGGGTCTGATAAAGGTCGTACTTTCAGTGGACCAACCCATGGCGGAACCAGATATATTTACGGAATTCAGTGACACATTCAAGGGCATCGGACAGTTTCCTGGGGAACATACGTTCAAACTTGACCCTGAGGTTGCACCCGTAATTAATCCACCGCGGCGAGTGCCACTCACTCTCAAAAGCAAGCTGAAAGATGAGCTGGATCGCATGGAAAAGATGGGCATACTAGTGAAGGTACATGAACCCACGGATTGGGTAAACTCGCTCGTATCGTAGTAGTTTGAAAAACCGCGCACGGGACAGCTTCGCGTGTGTCTCGATCCTCGCGATTCACCGGGCCATAAAAAGAGAGCACTACCCCATCGCACTCTAGAAGATATCACGGTGCAAACTGGCTGGAGCAAATACTTCAGCGTTGTTGATGCAAGATCAGGAACTGGTGCATCAAGCTATCGGAGGAAGAGTTCGAAATTGACAACGTTCAACACGTTCGCCGGACGGTATCGATTCACGGCGTTTGCCCTTCGCATACCACTCG